GTAGAAGGGGGAGGGCCTACGTCGCCCTTCCCGTTTTGGGTAGGAAGGGTCCTTACGAGGGTAAATTAAAAAAAAAAAATAAAAAAAAAAAAAGGAAACGGGGCCAAAATAGGATTACAAGAGTGTGGTCTATGCTAAATGTTTACACAGAGCAAACAAATGCCTTTAACTTCCAAAATATGGTACTGTTGCTTGTGCTATTCACAATATGATTATGGGATGTATAAAAAGAGAATTAATTCCTGGGACCCCATGGGCAGTGGTCCTACGAGCTACATGGCCAACGTCTTCTTTCAAACCAGTCAACATGTGTTTGTACATGGGATCTCATCGAGGGAGACTGTCAAAAGTCTACAGCTGAAGCCAGCTGTGCGGGTGAAGCCTGTCCAAATGGCTCTCCCAGCTCCTCTGCCATAGCCCTGCCAAGGTCAGGTATGATTAAGTAAGATGAGAGCTGATCACAAACGAGAAAGCTCACGGGGCTCCTCTGAAAGGGGAACTGGGCTGGGTCAGTCTCCTGACTTCAGATCACACCTCCTACATGAAGTGCAGAACTTTCTCTGAGGAACCTGGGGGATTCCCCGTGGGTAGAGGACGCTGACGTTCACTGCTCCTACTGGTTTTTTTTGCAGATGGACAACCACATAAGTATGATGTACATCCATGTGTTTGCAGCCTATTTTGGGCTGACTGCATCCTACTGCCTCCCAAAGCCTCCCAAAGAAATGAAGCAGGAAACTCAGATGGCAACGAGTCCCAGTTTGTTTGCCATGCTTGGTAAGGACGGGTTAGGGATTGGTCTCAGATCTGGGGTGAGCAGAGGCTCTGCAGAAAAATCTTTCTCCTTCACCAACGTGCCCTGGGTGTCTGAAGCCCCTCTATAGTGACTGGTTTCCTCAAATAGCATTTGATGAATTCAGACCTTTGAAAGAAGCATTCCCCTCCAGGGAACTTCTCTTCATTAGTATCCAAAGGAGAGGAGAGACTTGCTACATCTCAATCCTTTTGTCCTCAACTTAAAGAAGGGAATTGGACAAGTGAAGAAAGCCGGGCCTAGGGGTGGAGGAAAAGGACAGGGGTGACCGAGTGGAGACTTGCTAGCTCCAGGAGTCTCCTGTCTGAAGCCCCCGGAGGCTCAGGCTTTGGAGCAGGAGTACTGGTTCCCGCCTTTGACACTCTGTGGCCTCCAGGCACCCTCTTCTTGTGGATATTCTGGCCGAGTTTCAACTCCTCTCTGCTGGACTTACTGAGCGAAAGGAAGAAGGCTGTGTTCAACACTTACTATGCCCTTGCGGTCAGCGCGGTGACAGCCATCTTGGTGTCAGCCTTGGTTCACTCTCGAGGGAAGATCAACATGGTGAGGAGAGGGGGAGGGGGACTGTCCCTCGGGCCACACTTGGATCATGTAGACCTGACACACATATTCATGTCCCCTCCCCCAGCACAGCCCCTTGGGCTGGGAAAGAGCATGTCAGGTGATGGAGCCTTGTCTGCAGCACCGTGGGGCATCAGCCCAGACAGCGCTGGCATGTCAGAATGGGCCCTGGCACGTAGGAGACCGGCAAGTGATCAAAGGCTCTCTAGAGACTGTGATTAAACCTATCAGCCTTGACATCAAACAAACCCAAGTTTGAACCCCGTTTCTGCTAGTTACTAAAGCCAGCCACATGAACAGCAGTCAGCAGAGGAAAATGGGGGTGGAATTAGTCTCTCCCTTTCCCCCAAGAAATTTCAAGAATAGAATGAACAGAATCAGAAGTAAAGAACTTTGTTTCCCTAGCCATGTGACAGTGGCCAAGCCACTTAAACTTTTGGAGTCTCAGCTGCCTTCCACTGTAAAGTGGGGCTTGATAGACAATGCACGAAAGTGCTTCACACAGGGTGAGACCTGGGCGGATATCAGCTGCTGTTATCAACGTGGCTGGGAGACTGCGTGTGCGAGTTTTGGGAGGAGAGATGGGTGAGAGAGTAGAGCTGAAGACAAAAAACAAGTCCCCATGTTGAGTGGGACATGAGGTCAACCAGCCGGAGGTGGTGGGAAAAAGTCTGGACAGACAGCGGGGGCTGGAGTGGAGAGAATGTGGCCATGGATGACAGGTTAACAGCACTAAGGGGAGGTGAGGGTCTCCACAGGTGAGCTCCATGGTGACAGGGAGTGGTGACTCAGACAAAATGGGGACATCCAGGGAGGTAGGTGTAGGCATCAGGTCAGGGAATCCCAGAAGCTAGTCCCAGGGCCCAGAGCTTGGAATCTGGGTGGAACAGAGAAAGGCAGAAGGAAGCAGTGTAAGAGCAAGAACTGGCAAGGCCCAGGTTCTAGAGGAACAAAGGACAGAGTGGAGACATGACCCAGGGACAAGGGCCAGTTTATTGGGAATTGGGTCCAATAATTACAGGGAGGCCTAGGTACCAAGTAGCCAGTAATAATAATAAAAATAGTAAAAATTATGATGGCTTATATTTATTGGACATTTACTCATGTTCTATGCCAGGCATTGGGCTTGGAGTTTTACATGTGGTAGCTGGCTCAATTCCCACAATAACCGTATCAAGTAGGTATAGTCAAAACCCCATGCATCTGGTGGCAAAGTTGAAGCACTGAATGGTTAAGCACCCAAGGACACATCACTGCTGGGTGTGAGCATGACTAGGATGCTGAGTAACTGCACTTTCAAGCTAAATGACTCCCAGTCAGGGTGACTGTTCCCAGAGCCTGAGAAGTGGGTGAGATAAGACCATTGATGAAGTCTCAACAGAGGGGAGGAGGTGGTTTCAGGATCAGAAAAGCAGGGAGGACGCTACAGGGTTGTCTTGCTACCAGCTTACCAAGTATCTTGGAGAGATTGTGTCCTCTTTACCTCACTCCGTTTACCCACAAGCCATTTCTTTGCAGATTCATATCCACAATGCGGTGTTGGCAGGAGGTGTGGCTGTGGGCCCCGCTTGTTACCTGATCCCTTCTCCTTGGCTCGCCATGCTGCTGGGCCTTATGGCTGGGCTGATCTCCATCTTGGAAGCCAAGTACCTGTCGGTAAGGAGCTGGGAAACTAACACCTGCTGCTTTGGCTCACACCAAGGTCCCAGGCCCCTGGGAATACAGTGCGTCATCATGTAGTGCCACGGGCTGCATTAGGCAGCTGTTGGCAATTGTCAACTTGGCTTCAAAGCTTGGGTGAGGGACCCACCCATGTTGGATGGCACATTTGTTAGGTGGGGAGGAAGTAACAGAACCCATTCAAGCTCACTCAGGAATAAGAAGGAATTCATTATAAGGCTACTACCCAAGGCAGGAATGCTGCTGGGAGCCCAGGAATGGCCAGTACCAGGGATGGGAGTCTTGTGGGGATCTCGCAAAGTCCCTGCTCTTTTTCTTTTTTTTTGCTTTTCCTGAATATCTGCTTTATTCTTACTCTGCAGACTTCCCTCCCCTTGTCCTACTCCTACTCCACATGGTGGAATGTAGTCTCACTCTTCAAGAAAGCAGCCAGGTGAATTCCCTTGACCCCAGTTCTGAGTTCTCTGGAGAAGGCGATCATTGGTCTAACGTGGATAATGTGCCAGTCTTTGGCTAGGAATGGGAGGTAGGGCACAGCATACATACAGGCTGCTGTCCATGAACCACGTGAATGAGGGTGGGAAGGGCAGCACCCAAAAGAAAGATGCTGGGCAAATAGTCCAGGTCATGTCCACGTCTGATTATTTAGTTCTTCTAAGTGGATGGATTTTCCTTCCTTCAATATTCAACAGATATTGATAATATCAGAGTACTCCATTATAGCCAATTTGTTATACTCTCAAGAGAAATATTTCAGAACAAATCTTCATCAATTTGAAGGCTTGATAGAGGAAAAAGGAATAGACTTTCGGATGAACTGTGGATATTCAGGAAGGTAGTTTCAACCCCCAAATAAGGAAGTATTACCAACAGTTTGATCTTACCAAAGATGGGGCGATCTGATTTTCATCTTTGGAATGGAAACACATGTCTTTTATCTCCTCTGGTTCTGAGGCCCTATGATGAAAGGAAATGTACAGCAAAACAAGTATCACAAGTTATCATCAGAAAACAAAACAAAACAAAACAAAACAAAAAAACAAGTTATCATCAGGCTCAGTGTCTGTCACTTACCCTGTGCCTCAGGTTCCTTGATTCTATCACTGGGGGAATGATTCAAAGATGATTCACTGATTCTTTAAAATTAATTAATTCACTCAGTGCACATGTTCTAGTAGTCATCCTGCCTCCCAAGCTATAGTGTAGGGGGAGAAATGGACAAATAAACACAGCACAGTGTGATAACTGCTACTGGAGCACATCTGGCCTGAGATGGGTCAGGAAATGCTTCCCAGAGCAGATGTCTCAGCTGAGTGTTGACAGATAACTAATGTTAGCCAGACAGAGAAGTTGGAAATGTCCTCCAGACAGAAGGAACAGGGTGTTCAAAGGCTCAATGATGAGAAGAGCATGCAGCCCAACTAGGAAACAGAAGGATGTTCTTATGGCTGAAGCATCAAGTTCATCAGGGAGTGTGGTGGGACCAGAGCCTTGAGCGATGGCAGGTGCTGGGGAACATCTCCTGGGCGAGTTGAAGAGTCTGAAG